TGGCAAACGAGTCTGACGAGCAGCTCTCACCTTGAAAACTTCTGTAAATAGCGACAAGGTGGCGGAGCTGATGCTGTTTCTGGACCGATTGTGGATCGGAGATAGAAGACAACGTCATCACCAAGCACCTGTCATTTGGCTAGCCATGACCATTGATGACTGCTTCTGAGGGCGATATCTGGACTGCTATTATTAGGGTCGCGTGTGTACATAGTCTAGTCTGTACATTTGCATCCACTATAAAAAAAAAAACATTTTGCGGTCGGGTGAAAAAAGACGGTCGGTCGGGTGACCCGAAACAACGAATTAATTCTGGATGGCCTGAAGAGAATTTCAAAAAGTATGTTTCGCGGAGCGATCGCTCAACCTACGTCATTCAAACTTTGCAGGATGGTTCAGACGTACATGCTAGGCATGGAACCACAGAAGATGATTATCATAGCTGACACACAGAGCTCTAGAGTAGAGTCACACACACAGCAGATTCGTGTGCACAGATACTAAATTAGTGGACGTCGTCATCTTCTTCCCGCTGATCTCAAATGTACTATGACGTGCTATTTCGCCTGACGATATAAGCTTCACTAGCACCGTTGATTACACAAGAGTTAATCTAGCCAGAAGCAGCCCATGGTTAACAGGTACGTATGCTTCAAACAGAAAGTATATGAATCCTGGAACCAACAAAGGTGGCAGGTACAACATCACACCTTCAAGTAGCCGAGCCCGTTGGCAACAGACCCGACACAATCACGCATAAGTGCACTCACCGACCGAACTAGTTGACACACCGAACTAGTTGACACACACACACACACACACAAACACACACACACACACACACACACACACACACACACACACACACACACACATTCTCCAAATCTCACACACATTCTCTCTCTCTCTCTCTCTCTCTCTCTCTCTCTCTCTCTCTCTCTCTCTCTCACACACACACACACACACACACACACAAACATGTGCGCGCGTACACCAACAATACTCATCCGTTTATTCGCACACCTACCGCACACATAGTTGCACTCGCACTTATCCAATCACCCACACGCACTTTCTTTCTCACGCATGCACACAAACACACACACACACACACACACACACACACATGCGCGCACAATCTCACCCCCCCCCCCCCACACACACACACACTCTCTCTCTCTCTCTCACCTTCCTTCCTTCCCTTCCTTGTACCACTGCCGTGTCCGGCTGTGTGACCCCCAAAGGGGCAGACTCGGATTTGTGCTATCCATCAGGGCGCTCAACGGGAGTGTCTTATCGCGTTACATTTGTGCGACTCTCATCTTGCCGCCGACGAAAACTACGGTAGCATACCAGGCATTGGAACGGCTTTGTTACCGGTTGAGTCCTGACGTTGACGATATGCTCAACTCCATCACGGTACCTCAGACGCCATTCCTCCCTGTCCTGGGCGATGTCATTGAAGTTGTTCATTGGAATGCCGATGGAGGTAAGGTCAGCCTTTGCAACATCCTTCCACCGCTTCCTGGGCCCATGAGGCGGGCGCTTAGCCGGCAGGGCGCCGTACATAAGCTGTAACGGAATGCGATTTCCCATCCGGGCAACGTGTCCCTGCCACCGGAGCCGGCGCCGCTGAACCTTATCCCCGATATGCTCAAGGTCACCCCACATGCGACGAACCTGGAGGGAAGAGATTCGGTCGGTGATCTGCCGTCCCCGATCCACCTTCAGCATCGACCTTATCC